TCAACGTTTATTTGCATAGTTTGTTACATAAAGGTTTTTTCAATTTATGTGAGTTTAAAGAGATCTCAGTGATGCTTAAAAAAGAATAAATTTAACATGAAGACTGAGTGATTTTAAGTCTGGTTAGTCTGACTCTGAGTCTGATTAGTTAGAGTGATTAAATTAGCTAGGTGTATACTGTAAAATATGTTGATTTTTGTCTAAATTTTGATTTGTTGATTTCTGTAAGATTTTCTTATTTTTTATTAACCCTCAATACCGAAATAATCCCGGGATCGACTAAGTATAATCCCGAAATCCCGGGATTAGAAATAAGGACCGGGATCGAATTCCCTAATTGTAAGATTGTTATTAATATAGATTTTTAAAATACATTCATTTAAAATTCAATAAATAACTCTTCAATAAGATTTCAATAAGAAGTACAAGGGTTTAAATAATTAAAATTGAATCTATAATATTGATATTATTGTGGGGAATATTTTGATAAAATTCCTTAATTTGGGGAAATTTTACAGACACTTTAAGGATAATTCATTCTGCTCTAGGTTGTACTGAGTGTTATGAATGGTTTACAGAGTCAAAAGTGGTTATCAACCAGTTGAAGATGACTTGACCAGGAAACCTTTGACCTCAACTGATGACACTCATGTTCAGAAAATCAAGGATCTGGTGTGTGCAAATCATTGCCTGACTGTCAGAGAACTTGCAGAAGAGGTAGAGATCTCAATAGAGTGAAGCCATGACATTTTAAAGGAAAAATTAAACATGCATTGAGTTGCATCAAAATTTGTTCATTTGATGGCCAAAGTGCAGAAGGAAAATAGAGTGGACCTTTGCCTGGAACTCCCTCAACAAGCCAATGATGACAAAATATTCATGCAAAGGATTATAACAGGTGATGAGTGTTGAGTTTACAGCTACAACAGTGAGACAAAAGTTCAATCATCACAGTGGGTTGGCAAAGGATCTCCAAGCCCAAAAAGCATGACAGTCTTTGATCTAATGTCAAGGTGATTCTCACTGTTTTTTCAATTTCAATGGAGTTGCGCACTTTGAATTTTTGTCTCAAGGTCAAACAGTCAACTGTCAGTACCATGCAGATGTTTTGAAACAGTTGTGTGAAAAAATTTGCAAAAACAGACCAAACTTGTGGCGAGGTAACTCATGGTTTCTTCACCATCACAATGCGCCTGCTGACTCAGCCTTGTCAATTTGCCAGTTTTGTGTGTAAAATCAAATGACTGTCCTACCCTAGCCTCTCTACTCACCAGACCTGGCTCCATGCAATTTTTTCTTATTTCCAAAATTAAAATTAGTGCTGAAAGGATGCTGTTTTGGCAAATCGATGACATTAAAACAAATTTGTCACAAGCATTAAAGGACATTCTGAAAGAAGCTTACCAGGACTGCTTTACAAAGTGGAAACACCACTGGGATGAGTGCGGGAATAGGAGAGGGGAGTACTTTGAAGGGGACAAGGACCAACAATCCGTAACTTGAAGAATAAAAATTAAAAAATAAACAACCACTCACCACACTGAGATATAGTTAATCACATACTCTGAACCAATTACTGTGTGTAGATAATGAAAACAAACAAAAATGAATGTTTTCAAACTCCTTCTGAGTCCATCAGGTTTTTTAACAATTCCTCAATGGTTCTTTGTATTGGAATAAAATTTGAACAAGAGTTTGAATACAAGTTCAAAAAAATTAAAGCCACATCGTGCCTGCGCAAAGAGTCGCCAAAAAATTGTTATAAATATACCGTAATGTTTTCCTAACCAATTGCTATTTGATCGTCTACCAAGAATCATTTTTTGGATTACAAGCACGCTACACACAGAAATTCATTTCAGTTTGTTTGAAATTGTCCGAAAAATGAAAGAAATCCAAAGTGCTGTTGTTAGAAGATCACATTAAAGTTATCACAACAGCAATTAGCGGTGAAGTTTAACTGTGGGAAAACAAAATTTATTTTACCATAGACCTACAGTATTTTCCTTGGGGGTAAAAAATATTGTACACGATACAATTAATAGGCTGATCTCATCGTTTGATAAAATTTATTTATCTTTATTTATCTATTTTGAAGCTCATATACAGTACTGTACATATGTGATAAATAGTTTCTGTATCAACCTGTCTTATTTCCATGATATTTTTAGAAAAATAATATTCAAGTAATTTTCGCAGTAATATTCAAAAAAACAATAAACGCATTAATGCAAAAATCAGTTTTACAGGCAACCTTCCTTTTTGATTCCGCAATGAAATCGCGGAATGTAATGAAATCGTATAATGAGAAAAAATAATAAAATCGTTTTATTATTAATTAATAATTTTTCTTATTGTACTTAAGAAAATATTAAATATTAAAAAATACAGTATTTTTAATAATATTAAAATAAGATTAAACTAACGAATACCAAAATCAAAGTGATGTAGAGATATTGCTCTTGTATATCGATGATATAATACTTGTAAATGAGGAGTGAACGAAGAGAACCAAGTTGAATTAATTAAGCTGGATAAAAGAAAGTGTGCATTATAATCGAGAAAATGCGAGCATTGTATTAATTTTTAAAATATTGGTATTAAATCTGTCTTATAAAATCACGACGACTCCTGTAAATCGAGTTATCTGATAAAAATAAAATATAATACCAATATAGCCCTATCATTGAAAAAATTTGCTTATTTTTGCTTACTTCGAGTTTTTCTCAGTAGAGATGGCTAAAAAGTGCACAAAATATGTACGGAAATATGGTATTACAGCACCACCTGTATTGGACAACCACCTGTCTAAAAGACCACTTTTTGAAGGAACCATGGGTGGTCGCCATAGACAGGTTTTACTGTACATCTTTTTAGAAAGATTGGTTTTGTTTTACCAATTACCCCAAACCAACCCTAAGAAAACTATTATGCAACAACAGAGATATATTTCAACTAAATGAAAAACCTGTGGTGTATCAAATTTCACTAAAACATGCTCTGTCAGGAGAAGAAACTAGCTACATAGGATCCACAACCAGAATTTTATATTCTCGCATCTTAGAACATCAGGAAGACATCAAACACAGTAGATCATCAATAGAATTAGCAAAAAAGTGCTTGACCAAAATTATCAACCACTCTGATTCCAAACAAAATTACTCAAATGGTGCAATAATCGGAAAGATTTATTTATTTGGGAGAGTTTCTAAATAACAGCTATAACACCTTGCAACACCCCAACTCTTGAAATCACACAATTATGGGTTACATTATTCAAACAATTCAATCAACAGTTTTAATTCTTTTTTTTTGTATAAACAAGTTTACATAGCGTGCAATAGCAAAAACAAACTTGGAAAATTACACCATATGTTATTACTGTATATTTTTAGAACATCGTTTTTATTCAAATTAATTTCATATTCCATCCATGTGCTATAAAGTGGGTGATCGGTTAACGAACAGATTGGACAACGAACACTTTCGCGAAAGATTTTTATGTTTGGACAACAAACACGTGATTGGATAACGAACACCACACAGAACAAACACAAGAAGAAGCGACGTAAAATAATGAATACCGATTGGTCTTCCCTTGTCTTCGGGCAACAATTTGAAACTTTTTGGAGCGCGAAAGATGTCGACATCGACGTTCAAGCCGGTATATACCAATCAGATAGTATTCCTCTGAACTTTGAAACTCTCCCTTGTAATTCCAGCCTTTTATTTTTCTGACAAAACAATTCATTTATGTATTCGCGAGACTGTCAGGTAGGCATTCGTTAAGTTTTGCGTCTGTTTTTCTTTTCGAAAGGTGAGAGTATAATAGCAAAGGTAGAGAGTGGGCAGAAGATGCCTAATGTTGCTGGGCAGTATGGCGTGAACAGGTCTACAGTAGGCCACAGTTCAATCTTATCTACTAAAGATATAGTATAATCGAGAAAACTCAAGCAGCTAAAGGAGTAACAAAAATCATATCTGAGAAATAAAGAACATTGAAGAGCTCATAATAGAACCTGAAATGGATCAGACAACAGAAGAATGCCAAAAACTCTTGAATGAATAACACCAAGAAACTCAGCGAGATGTTTTCTTCTGAAAAATAGATGAATGCCAATATCTGCTATTAAACATCTTTTGAAGAAGTGGGAGGATGTCAGAACAACGGTCTTAGAATGGCATCCAAACCAGGTTGAGGCTTGGGGATTTCTACAATTGCAATCCTATTAATTACTTACGAAAAATCCTGAAGAAGAGAGAAAAGCAATCAACATTAGACAGATTCTTTAACCCTTTCAAATGGAAAAACATGACTAATAAAAACACAAGACTGTGCATGTATGTATTTTTATTATTATATATAAACAAACATAGTAAGAAAGTACATATTTTTTTATTTTTGGTGGTCTCCAGAATGAATTAATTAAATTCCCATAAAAACCTATGGTAAATTGATAATTGGTAACGAACAATTGAAATAGTGAACAAAGTCTCGGAACGGATTATGTTCATTAACCAATCACCCACTGTATTTCATTTCAAATATTGTTCAAAAACGTAAAATTTGATAGCTGTTGTATTCGATATTTGCCTGACAATGGTAACTTTATGCTACTGAAAGTACTAGCAAACATTTTCATATGCTAAAAGTTGATATTGGTAATGCCATAACACTTAAGTGTAGTTATTATATATTCAAAAGTTGGCGTGAAGTATAATTTATTTTAAATTATCAAATTCAACTGTATCATTAATCATAGTAAATTATGAATCTCACCATCACTTATTACAACAAAATGAACTTTTATGATATTTTGAATTACAAATAATTTGTTATTTTCAAATTTGCAGCTATTTGTTGCACACTTAGTATTTGTATTGCACTTAGTATTGCAAGTGTAGCCTTGGCTGCCATCAGATTGGGGAGATGAGACAGTTTATGGTAGCTTTTCATCAGTGCCCATACAGATTCCAGTATGAGCAATTTCTCGTGGAAAATGAAAAACTCACTTCTGGAATATAGTATGTGAGGCTCTGAAAGCGAACCAGAACCATACTCATAAATAAAATTTTTTTTTCCTTGAAAAAAAAGATAGAAAAGGGGAAAGATTTTTATTTTGTAAAACTGATAAGAGAAGAAAGATAAAAATTTGTCCCTAAAAGGACGTGTTTAAAAGTAATTCTTAGAAAAGTGAACTTCTCGAATTACAACAATAGAATGATGTAAGTCCCAAGATCGACTATCTTTGATTGGGATTGTATGGACAAGCAATGTTGACTCATTATCTAGTGTAACAAGATTGGAACCCAGATCGCAGGATGTATAAAGACCAATTAGAAAGTGGAAGTGAGGAGGATCGACCAATCAAAATTATTGATCTGGGACCCAAAAAAGCTTATAAAAATGACCAATTCAAGGACACATAGCTTCTCCACCAGATTTTCATATTTTGTGGCATCCTCCATAGTGAAAATATTCTCTGTTTCTTTGACGTTTAAACGATGCATATCTCTCGACACAAATTATTACACAGCTGTGCCCTGGGACCATCCAGTTGTCAACCTGACCAACTTGAACTTGAAAGTAAAGTTGAGATAGCTGTCCTAGTTGGACTTAGCCATGTGAGAAGGGGAGGTAATAGAGGGATGAGTGAGGGGTAGAGTGGGGAATGGGAGTAATGGGATAGAAGAGGGGAAAAAGAGGTAGAAAGTGGAGGTAGAGTTTGGGATCACAATCCTGATTAGCATCACACTTACAAAAGAAAACAGTAGATGGTGCAAACAACTTACAGATTGCCTTTCTGGCTAGACGGTTACAATAGTAATTACAGAACAAAGAGTACATGGCAGTGGTCTGTCGCCACTGGTAATCCCGACCGAAAAATACTACAGTACACTAAAACACAGGTATTACACAGATAGAATGTTACATAAAGGACAATGTTGCGATAACAGAAGACCAAGGTGACGAGACTGCTGATCGGAGCGAAGCACAGTGGGTCACAGGTGCAATCTATGTCCAGTACAAGAGACGCTACACGTGACACCATGGGAAACACCTACAGAGTGCAAGACCGCTGTTGCACAGAAGCAGGCAACGAAGACCAGTGGGCAAATTCACCAGTCAACCAACCAAAATGCTGGTGACGAGAGTGGCGATCCCACCGGCTGTCAGTACAGAGTGAGATAGCAGAGGGATCTTTGCATGTTGCTTCAGATGGAGTCTGAAGAACCGGTTAGGTTTGACGTAGGCCGGAATTATACTCGAAGCGACTACAAGAGTTTATGAATTTGGCAAACAGCTCAAAGATCTCCTGATCCTCGCAGAGAATGTTGGGTTCAGGAGGCCAACCGAATCCCTTCCGTAGACAGTGGTAGGTGAGTTCTTCTCGTTGTCTTTCGTACAGCGTACAGTGAAAGATGTAATGGAGGGCGTCTCCTTCAGAGACGCCATCACAACCGCACCTATCATTATTGATCCTTTTGAATCTAGTTAGGTAAGAGGGGAAGTTACCATGACCTGTCAAGCATTGCGTGATGGCATGAGAAATGGTGAAGTAGCTGAGAGCCTGCCTTTTATTAATCGACGGAAGAAACTTGTGGGTGGTTCTGCCAGTGGTTGAGGTAGCCCAATCCTTTTGCCACTCCTCCATTATACAGTCCCTGATGTTGTTCTTGATATGGACGATGGGAATATTAGAAAAAGTGGTGGTGATGTCCATTGTGGTGACCTTTTTAGCAAGGGCATCAGCGTGCTCATTGCCTTTATTACCCGTATGCCCAGGCACCCAGGTAAAACTGAGTTGAGCAAATTTGCTGAGGTTTCTGGCAAGATGTCTGACCTCCATGCCAGTTCTTGTGCACTTATTATTGTTCGAAAGGACATTAATGACATACATACTGTCTGTGTTGATACAAATGCTGCCATCGTAGATCCTCCTATTTTTAGTGATGGTGCTTAGAGCTTTATAAACCGCTAGCAGTTCTGCCTGGTTATTAGTACAATGCATGTGCAGCCGGTAATATTGCTGATGCTGAATCTCATTCTCACTATCATAGATGACGAAGGCTGCACCGGTACCCTTATCATTGCGTGAGCCATCTGTGTAGATGTTCCAGTGGGCTCTGCTGTTGCTATAATGATTGTTCCTGACATTAATGGTATAGCTACTCGTCTCTCCTGGGTGTCTTCCGAGAGTACTTCCAGTAAGATAATTGTCTAACTTGTAATTAATAATGGAGTCAATCAAGTTCGCACTATTAGGAGGAATCAAATCCTTGCTACAGAGATTCCGTATCTCCTCGGTGGTAATATTCTGATGGCTAATGGTCATCATGTTCCACTGCCAGAAGATCTCTTTAATGCGTAGGTGAATGAGGATAATGTTAGCTATAACCACTGTGCGACATATCGCACGGTGGGGGCCGTGCGATATGTCGTACAGACACGTCTCTGGACAGCACGTCTCTGGCCACGTCTCTGCACAGACAGAACAGCACGTCTCTGGACAGACAGTAATTTCCTCTTGTTATAGGCTAATGCCGCTCTGTCCCCCCAGACCTGCGCCGCATACAGAATAGCAGGTTCTATCGCTCCCCTGTAGATTAATTTACAGTTCTTACTACAAGTCCCCAGGTGTTTCTGGAGATGTAGTTGAAGAGGTTTACTCTCTGCTGAACCTTTTTACAGATTTCTGTGATATGGATCTTCCAACTTAGCTTTGGGTCTAAGTAAACCCCAAGGTATTTAAGGCAAGACACAATTTTTAGTTTTTTCTTGTCCAGGTAAATGACCAATGGGCGCTGTAGCTGCTTCCTCCTGGAGTTTTTTGCGCACACCATTGCTTCACTTTTATTATAATTGATCGGGAGTTTGTTCTTCTTGCTCCAGTTACTGACCAGCTCTAGAACCTCATTAGCCTTCTTTTGTAGTATGTTACTATTCTGATGCGCTATCATTATCAGCGTATCGTCAGCAAAACCTTGTGCCTTGATATCTGGGTTTGAGTCAAGGCTGCAAAGCAGGCCATCATATACTAGGTTCCAGAGTCCTGGGCCACTTCTGGAACCCTGCGGGCAGCCTCTGTTAATACTCTTTTCCAGGTTAATTGTATTTGAGTAATAGCCCACAGTCCTATTTTCCAGGTAGCTGTTGGTCAACCTATATATGTTGCTCGGGCAGTTAGTTTGATTCAAACAATGCAATATGGAAGGCCACCATAGGTGGTCGAATGCCTTTAAAAATCAACACTTAGCAGCAAAGCATGTCTATCGCTGTCCCATGCCTGGTTAACAAAATCCTTTACACCCTGTATTGCGTGGATGGCCGAACAGCCAGGGCGGAACCCATATTGGTTCTTATGCTGCAGGTTGTTGCTACTCAAGTGCCAGTTTATTCTGCCAATGAGGAGACCATTCAGGACTTTCCCCATTGTTGGCAACAAGCTGATGGGCCTGTAGTCACATTCCATAGTTGGGTTGTCCACTTTTGGAATAAACTTAACATTTGCCTTCTTCCACAGCTCTGGGAAGTAGCCGTGGTTTAGGCAGGCATTATACAATATCATGAAAGCAATAGGGATTTCTTGAAACGCTGCCTTCACCATTTCTGCAGTGATATTGTCAATGCCCGGCGCTTTCTTGTTGGCCATAGTATTTACCATATGTTTTACTTCTCGAAACGAAAACCAACGGTCATCCTTGCTGTTCTGGGGGACAGTGATGTTATTCCTTACTTCCTCATGCATTTCCAGCTCATTGTCTACGCTATCATTTGGGAAATGATTCTCAAGTAGTTTCTCAATATTTGCAAGAATATTATAGGTACCGGTGCCATCCTTCTTAGTGAGATTGGGGATAGTGGCCTTTTTGTTATTCCCAAAGACAATGTGATATGATTGAGACCAGGGATCGTTACAGGTCTCGGTGCAGAATTTCTTCCATGCTCTGGTTCTGGCTTGGTTTATTGCTTTTTTATAGTCTTTTAAGCTTTTGCCATAGGCTTCTTTCTTTTGCTCTTTCTGGTCACTGTTCTCGGCTCGTAGCCATTGCCTGCGCAGCCTCCTGATTTCATGCTTCTTTTGCTCCAACTCATTGCTCCACCAGTGTGTTTTTCTCTTACTCTTAGCCTTATAGGTTGCTTAAGACTTAGCTGCCCACATGATTGACTCAGTTATACGTCTTACATAGTGATCAATGTCTGCTGGGCTCACGAAGGGGTGAAAGCTGTACTCTCTCCAGTGAACTGCGAAGAGTTGCCTGAAAGTTTCCCAGTTTGTTATACGACGGCGGGCGTCCTGGATGGTAGTGTTGGGCTGAGTGTTATTGTTAATAGCAGTTAGAATGTAACGATGGTCGCTACAAGACGTGATTGTTAAAGTTTCGCAATTCTCAATATACCTACCCACAGCTGTGGGGGCCAGACAGACGTCTGTCCAGCCTTTGGCTCTACTGGTAAAGAATGTAGGATGATCGGTAGTATTTAGCGATATACAGTCAGCCTCGTTCATAAAATCATTTAGTAGTCTTTCACGGTGGTCTTCTTCTTTATGAAACCAAGTTGGGGATTTAGCATTTGCATCCCCTGCTATGATATATTTGTCACTGCTTAAGGAGCGGACAACCTTACTGAGTTCCTCAATGCATTCTGCATCAGAGTCGAATGGAGAGAAATAAATACATATGATGTAATTAATAGCATTAGAATTAATGGCTACCGTAGTAATGCGGTCAGAACTCAACTCCAGGATCATAGCCACATCAATATCAGTGTTTCTGATAATAACACCACATTTGGGTCTTTGATTACTGTTTCTCTTATTCAAAATTTGCCACTTGCAAAAGCGGGTGATAGTATTATTTACCGTGTACGGCTCCTGAATGAGTATAATATCCACATCCAGATCATTTGCAGTTTTCATCACAAGGGATGAAGCCGCCTTACACTTCTGGGTATTTATTTGTAGAATTTGTAGAGTATTGGTCGTAGTAGCCATGATGGTGGGGCAGCAGAATCAAGTGTATAATTATTCATATAGAGTTTGCTTTACTATGAGCCTCTTGTAGTATTGCAGTATTGGACACAGTGCAGAAAAAGCATTATGTGCTGTTCTGTACTTTCTTCCCTCTGGTTGATTTTTATTGGCTTTAGTGCAGTTAGTGCACTGCGGCCCGTCGTTCCGATTCGGGCAGTCTTTGTACTTATGTCTCTTCGTGCAGTGACTGCACTGCTCCTGCGAGTCGCAGTCAGCTGCTTTGTGACCATACCCAGTGCACTTGTAGCACCTTAAAACAGGTATATAATCATCCACTATTAACGTGCCCCACTCATATCATATCTTTTTAATATTGATTAAAGTATTCCGTACTGCCGGCGTTACGCTGATTATGACATGTCTACAGTCATTCTTCTTTTTTGAGTCAATTGCACTGATGATCCTTGCTTCCTTACAAAAACTCTCCAGTATGAATTTCTCATTAATTCTGACGTTTTGCTTGAATAGTTTTGTTAGAAACTCGTTTTTATCCTCATCTTTAGGGACATTTAGCACTATAATCCTTGGGTTCCTTTTCCGTGGTTTGGTGATCTTTACTTTTTCATTTACATCTGGAAGGGTTTCTATTGCTTGTTTCAGATTAAGATAGTCTTTTTCCGAGTTAAGTTTTATTTTGACATTCCCGCCTGCCGTAGATGTAATGTTCCTTACACCTATACTAAGCGAGGTGGGGTCTATTTTGTCTTGCAGTGTGTTCATGACTTCTTCTGGGCATAGTTTCTCCCCACTGGCAGTGGCCACAGGCTCCAGAATAATTTCACGTAAGTTCTCATCAGGTTTATTAGAAGCTAATGCTTCAGTTATCATTGTTGTCGTGCTACTTTCCCTTTTTGTACCTAATCTGGTGACTTCGGCGTAGCTGCGAGCACTGGATGACTTCTGGCTCCGTAGAGCCAAAACTATTCCGAATAAATTGTTGGCAGCCGCGTGCATGTTTAGTGCCGCCTGCCTAACTTTTTTCCTGTTCTTAATCGTTACCGAGCCGAGTGAGTTGGCCGGTATCGTTCCCAAAATGAACTCCAATTGGGTGGGGATCGTTTCTAGAATAGATTTTTCCGGGTAGTCCGTTGTCGAACTATTCATAATTAACATGTATAATTATAAACGAACAGCGTACAATTAGGCTAGGGTACGCAAAAGACAACTGGCTAGCAAAAACCCAGTGAAAACAGTGCTAGGGTCGAGTAGAATAACCCGTATTAGGGTTAATTGGAGTGCACTGCTACACTATGGAATGGCGAAGACAAAGACCTTTGTTCTCAGCCACGTGGAGAACAGAAAATCGTCGTTAGCACCTTAACAAATGTATCGAATTTTGGCCGAATTTACACAGGTTATGACAAAATGCGTATCTTACAAAAAGAGAGCTACTTTCAGACAGTACAGCGAGATTTAATCAACCCGAAAACATAAACCCCGCGAGAAACGACCTGAAATACAGCGCGATATCACGGTCAAAAGATGCCGTAACTTAAATAAAAATACGGAATTTACCAGAATAAACGTAAGACGATAGCGTATAACTACAGTAAAAAGTTAGAAACAAAACCTGCTTTTAACTTAATCGTACAGCCAATGAGTCGATCGAAATACGGAACGATCTAAAACACGTCCTCCCACCGACAAGCGTGGAGCACCATCCAAAAAATATAACGACTGCTAAAGAGGGGCTTTGACTCGAACTGCTAAAATAAAATGGCATACAGGATTATTTAAGTTACAATAATAATATTTTAATTTGAAGTTGCGTGATTCTCTTCCCTTGGTGTAACAAGTCTTAGTTAAGAATAACGTCCAAAGTGGACAAAAGCATAATATAAATGACTTTTATAATATCGCCATACGCCAACCAGTGACTGTTAAAAAAGCAAAATATGACAGATAAGAAAAGGAAATTAAAGTGAATTGGAAAAGATGTCAATTTACATATCGTTCCATAATTCGTCAACATAGACCTCTATTTGCACAGATTCTCTGAATTAGTTGTGTGCTTGGAAAGCGAAGATGATCAACGTTTGAATAGCATTCTAATTTCTGAAAGAAAAACCCAGGATACCACACCACGCATTCTTTCAACTAAAATTATTTCAAAATAAAACAGTTCTATATACTTAAATGTGCTATGAAGTAAGAAAACCTATTAACGTATGACGTAGCTATGGTTCCAAAGTTGCCATTGTCAGCAACCTCTATTCTTGAACCGCCATATTTATTTATGATATAATATTATATTATATATAAATGAATGACTAAGATGTCGCGGTAAGATGCCTAATGTAGTCATTCAAACAAACTGAATACTGAATTTTAATAATAATTTTCTAAATTATGTAAAGTAAATATCACTCTATCAGTCTACTTAACTATAATCATTACCTAAATAACTAAATCGATTCTTGTGCTCCAAAACTGTTTTTCATTGTCAACATCCACTGACAATGAAATCTGTTTGTGTGTTTAAATGATTGCACTTGGCATCTTGTATTATGATTACACTTGGCATCTTCTCACTTGTATTATGATTATGATTACACTTGGCATCTTCTCACTTATATGTATATTAGTCATCTTAACTGGACCTGACAGTCCAGTTAAGATGACTAATATACATATAAGTGAGAAATCTATTATTATGAAAATGGAACCTATTTTTTTGTTATGTGTCAATATGTACTTTCGAAATACTTCCAAGAATTCGATATTTGCATCTAAAGCGAACAAATAAACAAACTGCACCTGGCTTTTCTATCAAAAGGAAATACTTTGTCATCGTTATTCAATTCATTATGTTTCTTAGAAATATATTTTATCAAAATATATTAATTTTAAATTCTTTAAAGCATCGCAACGTAGTTTTTGTGGAAAAAGTTTATAAGCCTAATAGTTACATCGAATATGTGAAATAACCTGAATTAATTTAAAATGATTCTCGGAATTAATGAAAGTCAAAAACGCCAAATCTTGCAAAATCTTCGTATAGCACGAATTTAGTCTATGATGATCTTCTATTTGCCTTATTTCTAAATTCGAAAAAGTAAATTCATCATAAAAATTTTCTAAATTATCGACATTGAAAAAAAATGCTAACTTTCCTTGGAACCTAATTTTTTTTTAGTCTAGAAAC